AAACATGGAAAAGTTCTCAACAAAAAACCAACCTTCCGCGGTTCCACCAGCGCTACGTCCCACTCTATAACAACACAACAACATGGGATCAATGAGACACCATTGATGATCGTAAGATAAGAATTATGCTGGTGATCTCAAAGTTCACAAAAGGGAATGAACGGCAAGAGTTCACTTGTTATGGCCAAGCACTCGTTATTTATGGCAAAGCACTATGGTATGTACGGCAAAGCAGTATTAAACATTATGTAAAATGCCCAGGTTTCAAGAAGGTCGAGCTTGGGAATTGCGGATTGAATTTTCTAGTTGATAAGCAATGATTGAAATGAAGTAATTAGCCACACCTGACCTGTGACCCAAAGGTGGCGTATTCTGTCATTTTCTATATGGGAAGTATGCTGCTTCCCTTGCTGAGCAATAAACCCTTTCTTAGAATTTAGCCATCACAGGTGTACAACAAAGAACTGTCCTTGAAAGAAAAAGAAAGATTGTTTTGAATGATCTACAGCCTTCCAGAAACTAGGCTACTTAAGAGTGAAAGTCTTGTTGCTAGGCAAGTGAGTCTTAAATACTAAGCCGTGGCAGATTTTTCGAAAGAGTGGCCCGGTGATTCTGCGTGCATTGTTCCTGCAGTCAATTCTTTTATGTAAACGACATAGTTGTATAGACACTACGCATTTTTCTAGAGTTTACTATGCCAACCATCTGAAGGATTGACTACGATATAGCCCGAATATCGAAGCAAAAAGTGGAGAAAGACTCCAGCTGCATACCTTCTTGAATATACGAACGGAGCCCTGAAACATTAGAACACACTGACATCGTTCTTTTCATTCGCATGCCTGCGTGNTGTGTCAGATGTGAAATTTAGTGCTTCAATCTCCTTCCAAAGTAGCTGAACAGCTGGTCGTAGTGACCATTCAAGATGAGATGTACGGCGACACAGTTGACTTCGTCCAATCTCAAATCCACTTTCCAGATCTGTTAAACGATTCTAGGAACAAAGGGACGAAACCGATTCTTCCGTGCAACAGAGCAGCATCCTCGATGAGGATAAGTGACGATGCTAATAGGGTGGTGGACCTATGGACATGACACGAAGGTTCGAAATCTTGATGCATGTTCTCGCTTTCCTTTTCCTTGAAATGCGTCCAGAAACTTTACAAAACGTTCTAACGCTTAATATTGGCTATCTACTATACTCGCTCACATTTTGGGATTTAGTAGAATAGTAGCCCAGAATGTATGTGAATGCCTTTTTTTATCCCGAACACTCAAGATTATGCTCCGACATCTTTCCCAGCTTACCGCACCTACTGCAGAAGGCGGTCGGATAATTTTTTGAGCAAGATCCTCTCTGAAGGGAATGCATTCGAGGAATAATGTGCCTATTTTGGAAGCGCTAGAAGAAGTTATATTATATATTTTTATATCTTAGTCTTATCTTTATATTATAGTTATATTATATCTTATATTTTTTTTGGAAAANTTATAGAATAATAGTTGATCAATTCACATATCAATTCATCTGCTCCGTCAGATCTTTCCAGATTTCAACGTGTTGTTATGGTGGAACGACCACTTTTAGGTTCAAACCTTGAATTCACTTGCATTGAAGTTATCCTCTAAAAAGCCCTGAACCTGATTTTTAGCTTCGGTGAAATGGTTATCGATAAGAACGGTGTGGAAGAAGTAGGATTTCCCTTCCAACGGGTCCACAAAATGTGTTCTACTTTAAGACACGTTGGTAGTAATTCAGATTTCGCTCGAATTTCTACCGAAATAAGAGCAGAAGTCTTTTGATCTCAATCGTTCCCGGCTGAGGAATGATCCCTGCACCCGAATTCCATTCAGAATGGTAGCAGCGTATTGAATGCATTTCTAGCCTATAAAGTGGCATGAGGTAGTCAGCCGATGTACAATTCGGTGCTCTTAGTTAGGCCTGAATTGAGTGATCCTGAAGGTATTTCAAGGCTTGGTTGGACTGGGCGAGAATGAATCCGGAATCCGAACACCTGCCCTTTCGAGTATGATGTATGTAGTGCGCCACTTGTCCCAACACCTGTTGTGGTATGAAACTGTAAGTTCAGATGGACACGCACAATTGTACAGTTGTTCAATCGCAGACGTTTACAGCTGGAGATATGTTATTTGGCAAATCATGATGCTATCCCAAGCAGGGGAGTAACTGCTGTATATGGTTTGCACAGTGCACAAGTGCTGTAACTCTTTGATCCTCCATAGAACTTGTTGTTGATTAACTGCCCCCAGCTTTCGAGTATGATGTATGTAGTGCGCCACTTGTCCCAACACCTGTTGTGGTATGAAACTGTAAGTTCAGATGGACACGCACAATTGTACAGTTGTTCAATCGCAGACGTTTACAGCTGGAGATATGTTATTTGGCAAATCATGATGCTATCCCAAGCAGGGGAGTAACTGCTGTATATGGTTTGCACAGTGCTGAGCACAAGTGCTGTAACTCTTTGATCCTCCATAGAACTTGTTGTTGATTAACTGCCCCCAGCTAGGTAAGAAATTATGTTAACAACTAACTTTTCGGGTAAATCGCCTTCTTAAGAGCCTGTAAGTCTAATGTATATTTGTTATTCATGAGATTATCTTTCCAAGCAGAACAAGAATTCTCTAAGGGCTGCGAAACAAAAGCGAATACAGGCAAGTTCCATCAATTTGAAGCTTTATTCCGAAAAGGTAAAGTAATAAATCACAAATAAACATTCGACTTACAGGCTCCGGTAAAGGCAACTTTGCCGAAACGTTATTCGTTAACAGCAGTTAAATCCAATCGGGAATCAATCCGCACAAATGTCACTTGGAATGGAATGTCACCATGCCAAGATCAATGGAGACCAGTCACAGAATATTCTTCATAGAATTCTTGACTCACAACCTTTTCCCTTTTTGGCTTTGTGGGAAGGTAATCTCTCCTTTATTACGTAGTTTTCGGTGTGAGCGTCTCGTAGACTTTCCAAGGAATGTCTGTGGAATAGAAACAAGCATTTACAGCAAGGCTACATAATTCAGAGTTACCATTCTACAATACAAATGTGCAAATCACTCCAAATGAGGAGAGAAAAACAGAAAAATCAGCTACTTCTCAATAATCATAATCTATCCACGGAACCTGAACTCTCTCACAATCAGTCCTGCTTATGTTGCGATCAAGTTTGTAAACATACATCGGGTTCTCTATTGTAAGAACAAACGTTGTCTTGTTGGACACCTCTAACACGTAGCATAAATCCTGAAATCGTGAAAAATCGTATTATGTTACGCATATATTCAGCTCGACGGAAGAGAAAACGAATGATCTGTCCATAGCAACTTTCAACCGCGAGAACAAGAACAGCCATTAGGTGTAGATTGAAGCGGTAAGGTATAGGTCAGGGCATCTCAAAAGAGTGGCGGCCATGTTCGACTTTCGAGATGGTGGTGATTGTGTGTTGCAGCCTGTTCGCCAAATATATTATATTGATGATGTTGACAGAAGTTGAAACACTAGGCTAGCTAAGAGGCCAACAAAACTGGCAGTGAAGATGGAATTCTGCGAACATCGCTCGTACCAACTTCATATCTGCAAAAAAGACCTGAAATCGCAAGCGAGGGCAGGAACAGCCGAGTGCTTAAAAGCCGTATCTGCATCCGTATCTATCTATCTCAGAAAGACCACGAGTTTTACTGCTGCCGAGGAAGTACCAGGCCTCAGAAAAATTGCAAAAAAAAGGCTGCGGTACTAGCGTCAGACCCAGTGGCAGGCTGGCCGGTGGGAAAATCCTGCCACAACAAATATGATTGAAGTTTCTCATGAATGCGGTATAAAAGCAAGATCGTCACCTGAAGGCCTCTCGCCTGTGTTCTGTTGACAATATGCGAGTGCTACCTAGAAGTGCATGACCTTGGCCGAAGAAGTAAGTTCGATTCGGGACCCTTGATCTTAGCTCCGCTCACTGGAAAGTCCTGAGAGATGTCGGTTTTATGAAGCGTAGAAACGTCCATGTCTTATGCCTTCAAGAGACTTGGTGGAAAGGAGCA